GAACCCCGATACATGTGTTTGACATTGAAGTCTCCTGCTGCAAGAAATCTGTCACCTAGAGTTAAGAAGTAATCTGTATATTGGGTCTCAGTAATGTTGAAACGAGGAGTGCAGTAAACTGCTGACAAAGTTACATTTTTTTATTTGTGCTTTAGGCATAGAAAATTGTGTTTTAAATGCCTTCGCACTAAAATACCTGTACCAGCATACGCCTTCCCATCAGGATGATTGGCATTGTAGATTCAATAATCAAAAAAACAAAAGAAATTTTTGTTTGTTTGTTTTAATAACTTAAATATAAAAGTTCAGCCCAACATCCCGACCTCCATGATAGAACTTTCATCCTAGAAGAAGTGTCAGCTTATGGATGGGACGTTGCATAATGCACTTTGGCGTTTTCACCTCAACAACTCACATAATTAGCTTTGCCTGGGATGATTAAAGTTTTTCTGCCAGTTTACAATGTTGTGGTAGCACGTTATCCTCGTGTACGATCACTTATGCAAACCTGAATGTTTGGTTGATCACCCATTTATGACGAAATTACAACTCATTTAAATATTCTCGAGACCATTGATGCCAAAAACGTTGCTTGATTGCGATAATGCGCGATCCTTTATCGTAATGATTTATATAATTTTCTGTAACAATAGCGCGTTCGGGTAATGCCTTTAATGAGTTGCCAATGATGAAATGTGTAGGTGTCAATGCTTCACAGTTATTTGGATCAGAAGAAAATGAAGCTATCGGTCGTGAATTAAGTATAGCTTATACTTTAATCAGGGCAGTATTTAGTTCTTTAAAAGTAAGACATGCATTAGCAAGGGTGCGTTTTTAATGACCTTTTGTTGATTTCACTGCAGCGTCCCACAGACCACCGAAATGTGGAGCCCTGGGAGGAATAAAATTAAAGTTTATATATTCATTACAACAAATGTTAATGATCGATTGCTTATTGCTAGAATTGAAAATAAATTTTTTCAACTAAGTTTTCGATTTGCTCCAACAATATTTGTGGCATTATCACAAAAAATATCTGTTTGCAAGCCTCTTTTGCCTATTATGCGTTTTAGCGCTGCGATAAATGCATCTGTTATGACACACAAAAATAGCTATGTATGTTATACGGCGTTTTGCCTCTTATTTGGAGATATGTGTTGACTGGTTTTCAAAAATCCACAGCACAGCGAGAGAATAGTCTGCAAGGTGTTAGACGCTCTACAGGTGGGTTACCCATCCCACAGGTTAGCTGGAGTAACTTCGGCTTATAACGTACACAATGAACACATAATCTAATAATATGGCGTGCAATTTCTCTAGCATTGATGATCCAAAATCAGTGCAACCAGTGCCTTAGGTCCAGCGTGAAAATTGGTAGTATGCAAGTGACTTACGAGACATTCGACAAAATAACATTTGTTGGGTAGTAATACAGGATGCTTTTGCATATGAGGTAGTACAGCTATTTCTAGACGTTCACCAACCTTTAACAAGTTGTACCCAAATGTATCTTCACAAAACGGGTTGAGAAATATGCAAACACCTTGACCTTCTACTCCTTTTTTTACATGACGAATATTTTCAGCAAAACATGTTTGTTGGATGTTCCAAACTATACACCAAAGCGCTGTTTCGATTTCTTGTGCAGACAGTGATTCTGTTTCACAAATGTTACATACTGATTTATTTATCTTTTTGAAAAAACGAAGGATCCACGCTATCACACGTACACTAGTGATGTGTGAACTAAATTTCGATAGTTATTCAACAATATAATTAGAATTTTCTGCGACGACAAATACAGCTTTTCGTTTTTCTTTATTAACTTGTTCCATGTCGACAGTAACCAACTTTAGGCCACCCAATTTGTGGGCCGTATAAAAACGCTGGGCCCTTTTACCAAATTGATTCAATAATTTCTGGAACTGTGCAGTCTCTCGATACAATATCAGCAGGGTTCTGTTGTGATGGTACATATCTCCAATCGCAATTAACTGTGAAATCCTGTATAACTGATACTCGATTTCTTACAAAAGTTGATAATGTCGATGAATGCTTACGTAACCAATGTAGCACAATTTGTGAGTCACACCACAAATAGGTTCCAAACTTGATATTATTGAAAATACCTTGTCAAAGAGAATAGCGAGTTAGTGAGCTGCACAAAGTTCAAGTTTCGGCAACGACTTTTTCTTCGTAGGAGCCACACGAGATTTGGCACATAGCAAATTTACAACAATGTTTTGTGTTGGATCCTCTACGCGAAAATAGAAGCAACAATTATATGCTTTTATGGATGAGTCGCAAAAGCTATGCAATTGAATAACCTGTGAGTTGACACCAAGACAAAAGCGCGGTATAGCAATTGAAGATAGTGAATATAGTCGTTTCAGGAAATTTTCCCACGCAGTGTATAAATTCTGTGGTATTGTCTCATCCCAATTTAATTTGCGTAGCCACAATTCTTTTAAAATTATTTTTTCAATAATAAGTAGTGACGCAAGCAGTCCAAGTGGATCAAATAGTGATAAAATAGAGCGTTTTGTTAAGTTACCTTTGTGAAGCTCTTTTGGTGAAAATAAAAACAAAAATTTATCGTTCCTTTGATCCCACATAATGCCCAATGCATTAGTGATTGAAGTATCAGTGAGGTTTAAATCCTTCATAGTTATATCGTCAACAAATGTTTCGACGTTGGAATGCCACTTAGCGAGTTCCATACAACCGTTCCGTAGAATATTAGAGACTTCATATTTTATTGTTGACAATTCATCTAATGAGTCTGATCCGCATAGAAAATCATCGACTTAAAATGATGACTTGGAAATTCGAAAGCACATTCATCAGCCAAGTAGTGTAGGCTTCTCACAGCTAGAAACGTTGCACTTGCTGTTCCGTATGTAACAGTATTGAGTTGATAGGTATGGATCTCTTCACTTTCTGAGGCACGCCATAAAATATGTTGAGAACAGCGGTCACGTGAGTCAACTAAGATTTGTCTAAAGATTTTCACTATGTCTGCAGTAATGACGTAGCGATAATGGCGGAAACGTAACAAAAGCGTAAAAAATCTTCCTGCATTGTAGCACCAACCATAAGAATGCTATTAAGTGATTTTTGCGTTGTAGTACGTCATGAGGCATCAAATACAACTCTAAGCTTTGTAGAAGTGCTATTTGGTTTGAGCACGCAATGTTGAGGTATATAGTAGTGGGATGTACGAAGATCAGGTCCTTCGATGTCCAAATTTTTCATACTCAATCATAAATGCAATATACTGTATCTTTATTTCTGGCATACGTGACAAACAACGTTCCGATGCAGTGAATCTTCTAAAAGCGATATCTCGTATAGTCCAAGTAAACTTAATGTATCCTTAAATGGTAGTCGAACAACTACACGTCCACTTTGATAGCTGATTAACTAGGTGAAGTACGATTTCAGAACAAGAATACTATTCGTGACAATTATCCGTTGCTATTAATTGAAACGTGTTTGAAATACCTAGGCGGGAAGAAATTTTTCACAACGCTAGATCTTATAAATGACTTTTTTTACGTAAAGATTGCGGCAGATTCAAGAAAATATACGTCGTTCGTAATTCCTTTTGGTCCTTTCAGATTGAAAAACGCTCCTGCGATTTATTCATCAAAAACTGAATGATCTAATTGCGCAAGGTAAAATTATTGTGTATTTGGATGATATTGAAGTAGCAACCGAAACTTTATAACATATGCATATATTAAATCAGATTTTTCTAAAGAAACTAAAGAAACCTTATTGCACACTGACGTTAGCAAATTAGGTTTTGGATCAGTACTTTTGCAGCGACAAAATGATGGAAAATTTCATCCGGTGTGTTACTATTCCAAAGCGACATCACCAGAGGAGTCAAGAATGCACAGCATCGAGTTAGAAACTTTGGCTATAGTGTACGCTCACAATCGTTTTGAAAACTATCTCAGAGGTATTCCATTTAAAATATTTACTGACTGCAGTGCACTATCATTAACATTTGAAAAGAAAAACATTAGTTCGAAAATAGTAAGGTGAACAATCATAATTTATATGTTCCAGCTGAAATGGAAGACAATGTTATTTGCCTCGTAAATTAAAAGATGTGCCCTCAAGAAACAGATAAGACGTATGAAGTAGTTCGAAAGAACTATTGGTTCTGGCTTATGAAGTTGAAGATAGAGAAGTTCATAAAAAATTGTCTGCGTTCTAACATGTAATGCGTTCCCCACCAGCATGGATAAATGAACATAATCTTCACAACATTCCAAACAAAAACCCTGTTCCGTTCGACATTATTCACGTGGGTCATTTTTGCCCTCAGCGATCAATTCAATCTGTGCGAAAACATTATAGTCGTTGATGCATTCACTAAGTTTGTAAGACTTTTTGCAGTTAAGTCAACCAGTACCAAGAAAGTAATAACTAGTCTCGAAAAGTATTTTCAAAATTACAGCCGCCCTAAAAGGATAATTAGTGATAGAGGTACATGTTTTACTTCATTAGAGTTCAGTGAATTTTTCCTGAAGCATAATATCAATCACGTTAAGGTCACGGAGCCATCTGCTCAAGTCAATAGCCAAGTTGAAACAGTAAATTGTGTTCTAAAAACCATGTTGAGTAAAATGACTGACCCTATTAATCATGCCAATTGGGTGAGGATGTTACCCAGGCTGGAATTTGCCATCAACAACTCTACACATAGTTCGTCTTAACAGATACCAAGCCAACTTTTATTCGGGTCGAAGTAATAGATTATTTAACAGAGCAGGATATATCGATAGTTTCCAAAAAAATCTTGAAACATTTCAAAGAGAAGAGTAAACCACTGTAAAAAATACTAATAATAAATAATACGCAACACCGGTTTTAGCGTCAGTTTCTGCTGACAGTTTATTAACGACTGAAAAATACAGTGAATGTGTATAATTATACGTACAATGTTTGAGAGATAGAGAGAGACAGCAGCGGCAAGATACAACCCTTTATTTCGCTTTAGTTTTCACATCCTGGGGCCCGCGAGTTGCAGAAACCTCGAGTGGATACAGTAATTGAATTGGTTTCTTCAAGGTAAGATTGTTACCCATGTAGACATCACAAGCTTGTATTCTGTTGTCTCTTCCGTGGTGTACATTTTTAATGACACCCATTTCCCATTGTAGCCGAGTTTTTAAATTATCATCGACTAAAATAATATCTCCCTCATTTACACTCCTTGAAGCACGAGCTTTATTGTAGTGAATACTCCGTAATTGGTTCAAATATTCTTGCTGCCATCTTTTAAGATACCTTACAATTAACGTTCGACGTTTTTGCCATAAATCAGCAACTTCTGATCTGTCATAGTTAAACTCGTCAATAATAAAGCTGTGTTGACACGAATTTAAAAAATGCGCTGGTGTTAATGGTTCTAAATCCTTTTCATCATTTGTTATGTAGGTTAAAGGACGAATATTTACAACGTATTCAACTTCTGTCAATAGTGTGTTCAATTCATCATATGTCAATATCAATTTCCCAATAGCTGACTTCAAGCATATCTTGACACTTTTCACTAATCTTTCCCAGAATCCACCCCACCATGCCGCTCTTTCTGGTATGAGTTTCCACGAAATACCTTTGTTAGCTGCAATGTTCTGAAATACTTCGGTTTTAAATAAGGTTTCTAGCTTTTGAAGTTCTTTGTTTGCTCTTTTAAATGTTTTGGCATTATCTGACATGATTGTTTCTGGACAACCGCGACGCGCTATAAACCTTCTTAAAGCATCAATACAACTGTTGGTTGTAAGTTTTTTCACCAGTTCCAAATGGATTGCTCTTATAGCTGCGCATGTAAATAACATTATATAAACCTTTTCTTGGTGATTCTCTCTTTCAATTTTTATATATAGTGGTCCTGCAAAATCAATTCCAGTCGTCTTGAATGGTCTGGTTGTTGTAATTCGTTCAGTTGGCAAAACAGATCATTGTTCATTAGCGCTTTTACCTCTAATCCTTTTGCATACTATGCATTGACCTACTATATTTTTGATTAGTTGGCGACAATATTTCTTTCGTATGTATGCTAGTACTGTTCTCCAGGTCAGGTGCGGCCTATTTAAAAGTGACCTGTCACTACGTGCAAAGCTCACAGGACTGACATTGCGCTTGTAACCCATCGTCAGGGCTTTGCTCCCTTTTACTTTTCTGGATAAAACATGAGTCAAAATCCGATGATAATACAGTCTCCAAGTGGTACCCGTACTGATACGGCGAATCCACCTGCTTTGGCAGCATGCACAACGGATTTGGAGGTGCGAAACTCACGTTCAAACAGAATCAATACGATAGGTACAACTGTAACCACAACAACTTTAAACAACCAACCACGAAACAACCAAAACGTTCTCTCAATGAAATCAAAATCCATGATCGGCGTCTGGAATGTTCGATCCCTAATCGGACCAGGTAAACTTGAGCAACTATCCCGGGAACTCTCTAAATTCAAGCTTGACATGATCGGCATCAGCGAGTGCAGATGGAAAGACTCTGGGGAAATCAACTTATCTAATGGAACTAAGTTTCTGTACTCTGGCAGAAGTGATACCCATCATAATGGTGTCGGTTTTCTCCTCAGCAAAACTGCGGTTCGTGCCCTCTTACAATGGCAGCCAATCAACGACCGCTTCATTTGGTGCCGATTTCGCTCCCGTGCACGAAACGTGACTATAATTCAAACCTACGCTCCCACTGAACTCGCCGAACCCGATGAAAAACTGGCCTATTATAATCAGCTTTCGTCTATTATTCATAATGCTCATAAACGAGATATTCTAATTGTAATGAGTGACTTAAACGTCAAAATTGGTGCGGACAACACAAACATAGAGCACATACTGGGAAAACATGGTCTGGAGACCAGAAACGAAAATGGTGAACTTCTAATTGAAGCGTGCAATGACGCCAACCTTGTTATCGGGGGCTCCATTTTCCCTCACAAAGCCTGCCATAAGTCAACATCGGTGTCACCCGACGGTCAAACCGAAAATCAGATTGACCACATTTGTATAGGAAAAATGTGGAGAAGCAGCCTCTTGGACGTACGCATCAAGAGAAGCGCCGACATCGGGTTGGATCATCAACTTCTAGTCGCGACACTTCGTTTAAAAATCTGCACCGCTGGACAACGACGTACTTTGAACTCACTGCCTAAACTCGATATTTCGAAACTAAATTCTGAAGACGTAAAAAACACCTTCGTCAGCAAACTTAGTACCTCAATTGAACAGCTCCAAAGCCCAGAAGTGTCCGGTAACACTGAACAAATTTGGCAGACAATTAAATCAGCATTTCTTACAAACGCAGAAGATGTCTTGGGTCTTCGCCCCCGCAACAGAAAGCCATGGATGTCAGAGTCTACCTGGTCTCTCATCGAATGCCGCAGAGCTGCAAAGATCACACGCGACAATGCTAAAACAAGAGCGCTCAAAGCAGAAACCAATCCTCCTACAATGAGATGGTGAAACGAGTGAAGCTTTCATGCAAGCGAGACAAATGTTTATGGTATGACAATCTTGCAAGTAAAGCTGAAGCAGCAGCCGAACAGAGAAATATGAAAATTTTATATGACGTCACAAAAGAGCTTGCAGGCAGAAGGTTCCGCCGTATAGGCCCTATACGGGACAAAAATGGCCGACTTCTCACTTCCACCGAAAACCAGCTTCAACGTTTCAGGGAACATTTTTCAGAAACTCTTTGTTACAATACTACCACTATCACCAACACCATCACACCGGCTGAACAAAACAGCTTCTCCAGCCTAAACAGTCGCAGTACATCTGTTATGAATAGAGTACCTGATGAAGAAGAAATTGTTCAAGCTATAGGCAGTTTAAAGAATAATAAGGCAGCTGGTTCAGATAATATCACAGCGGAACTGTTAAAAGCTTGTCCTTCGACTACCGCTAAAATGTTTCAACCTCTCCTGAAAAACATATGGGAAAACAATTGTCTTCCAAACAATTGGCTGGAAGGCTTGCTGACCGTATTACCTAAGAAAGGTGACCTGAGCCAATGCCGAAATTACAGAGGCATTATGTTGCTGTCGATTCCTTCGAAAATATTAACTCGTATTCTTCTGTCCCGCATCAACACTAAACTCGAAGACAGTATTCGTAGACAGCAGGCAGGCTTTAGACCAAATCGTTAATGCGTAGACCAGATTAACACTCTTAGGATCATCGTCGAACAATCTACTGAATGGCGAACAGCCATAAACATATTATTTATCGACTACAGCTGCGCTTTCGACAGTGTCAATAGAGGCTGCATTTGGAACTCTCTCTTACAAAGGGGTATTTCCGGGAAAGTTGTCGAACTCATCAAAGCACAATATAACGACTTCAGGTGCAGAATCTTCCTTAATGGGCAACCATCAACCCCCTTTGCCACTACTTCAGGTGTTCGACAAGGCTGTTTAATGTCGCCTATTTTGTTTTTAATTGTGTTAGACGATGTCCTTACTAAAGCTATTGACCAGTCACAACGAGGTATACGATGGGGGCTTTCAAACCACCTCGAGGATCTAGAATATGCTGAAGACATTTGCCTTCTCTCAACTCGGCAGAACGATATGCAAGATAAAATCAACGACTTAGTTCACGAATCACGTAAAGTTGGTCTTATAGTGAACACGGCAAAGACAAAGGCAATGAAGATAAATAATTCAGACTCTACCAGTAAATTTAACCTGGACGATACAGAAATCGATAACGTCAACAGCTTCACATACTTAGGCAGTATAATATCGCCGGACGGTGGCGCGGCAATCGACATCCAAAGCCGAATCAATAAGGCATGCTCCGCCTTTTCGTTATTAAATAAAGTTTGGAGCTCTTCAATACTCTCCCAGCACACCAAGCTGCGGTTATTTAACAGTAATGTTAAGAGCGTTCTGCTCTACGGCTGCGAAACCTGGCTTACCACCAACAACCTGATTCATAAACTGCAAACTTTTATAAACAAATGCCTTAGGAGAATTCTGAAAATTTGGTAGCCCCGCACTATTAGAAATTCCGAACTATGGTCAAGATGCCGCCAACTTCCTATAGCAAACGAAATCAAAAAGCGTAAATGGCAATGGATCGGGCACACTTTGAGGAAGGCACCAAATGAAATCTGCAAACAAGTATTAACATGGAATCCTCAAGGAAGCAGAAGACCTGGTAGGCCCAAGCAAACATGGAAGCGAACACTGGAGAAAGAAATCCAAGCAAGCGGAAAAACCTTTGGAGAAATTAAAACCCTGGCAAAAAATCGTGACAGTTGGAAAAAGTTCGTTATGGCCCAATATTCCCCTGGGAACGTACTGGATTGATTGACATTCACATCTCCATGTAGAGTAGCTGTATGCGCTTCAATTATCAACAACCTGCTGAGACGAGACAGTTTAGGCAAGATAGCTGGTTTTGTCTAACTTTTGTCGTAATCTTTATCTGAAATCATGCAACTAAGTGTTATCACGCCATCGTCAATAGTTATATTTAAACATAATAACTTTGAAGTTGTTGGCAAAATTTTTCCGTTCTTCAGATAACTAGCTTCTTCAGGAAAATATCTTTTCTGTTTCAGTTTTACCAAAAGTTTTTCGGCTTCAGCAATTTCCTGCGCACTTAAATTTTTTACGTCATTTATTTTTGATGTCTTCTGTACTGTCCTGTGAGATTTTTGTCTCTGCATGTTGCTAATAAACTTCATAATATAGGCTGTTACCCTTAACACTTTCTTAATGTTACTATATTTGTTTATTGTTTCAAATGATTCGCTTTGAATGGCAATGTTTTCATTCAGGTTCGAAAATGTTAATAAAATATCATTCATACTCTTGTTGCTTGTAGAATGTATTTTCTTTGCCGATAACCAGCTCGGACCATTTTTCCATAATTCATTATTAAACAAATTTTTGGCTGTACAACCTCTAGTTAAAAAATCAGCAGGATTGCTTTTACCATCGCAATGTTTCCATTCGTATATTGTAACGATCCTTTCTGGCCGAGGTTGTGCTCGCCGGATTCCAGGTTTAATCCTACAATAAAATTTATTTATTGGGACGGTGGTAAGTTAGGATGCACGGTGGGCGGTGGCTTCGCGACAATCAAGTAGTGTTGCTCTGCTGTGAAATCACTGGCTTCTTTGAAGAATTGGAAATTCCTTCCCTGCCTGCACTGTTGATGTCGTTATCAAAATATGAGTAAATAGTAGAAATGTATATTTTTATTCTACGGGGTTCTAGCGAAATGTGAATTTCGTTATAAAATAAGATAGAAATGTGTATTTCTATACTACGGGGTTCTAGCGAAATGTTGATATCGTTATATTTAAAGAAAAAAAAAACAATGTGAACTGAAATGTACATTTCTATTCACTGATGTATATAACGAACAATTTGATTTCGTTACAAGTAATTATATAATAGGAGTGTTTATTTCTATTATATATAAAAAAAAACAATGCGAACTGAAATGTATATTTCTATTCACCGATGTATCAGCTTGTGAGTTTAGAAGGATGTCTTCACTAGCTCGATGCTTTGCTGACTATCCATCACTGCGCTTTTGCTTCGCCTTTTATACACGCGAAGTGCAAAGCATGCAGTTGTTTTGTTATTGTAAAATCAATGGTGTGTTGTTTTACAATTTTATTCATTATTGATCTGGTGTTGTTATTTTTTTGTATTAAATTTGTTGGTGGTTTTTAATACTCGCTTACTGCTTTTATTATTGTTTTACGTTCACTTGTATGTTGTGACGTGAAATTTAAGAACATAAAATTTTATGTTACACTTCCCCGGTTTTTCCATCGAGTTGACGAACTCGTACCACTCCTCCTCGACTGATCTTAACTTGGTACCTCCGTTGGTCGATTACCCGAAGAAACATGATTTGTCGTCCTGGTTTTCGGTTCCCCAGCGCTTCTTGGATGTCTTTGTTCAACACCTCTGGCTATCGCTTGTCAGCTTCGGTGGGTGGCGGTGGTGTAATCTCGCTGGAAACAGATACTGCGATCTCAAGACACCTTAAGTCGCTCCCGGTATCACAATCCAAGGTGTCGTCTGGACTAGCTTCTCTGTATCTCGACCGGTTTTGTGACCTTGACGTAGGTGGTCGTCTTGGACAGGTGGGTTTTCGGACACACGGTAACACATCAGGGTAAACAGGAGTAGCCGGCGTGTTCCGGTTGCCTTTCAATTTTTTCCCTGCAGCTACTATTTTAACTTCACTCTGCTGCGCCTTGAGCTTAGCCGAGTGTTCTCTGAACTTCTGAACGCTTTGCTCCCACTTTGACATGTCGTTTCAAGATTCTGCGATCGATTGTCTTGTTGGTTGAATGATACCGTCTTTTATACTTGATTTTTATATGGGAACCGTTATTCTTTTGTTGTTTTCATGTGGTTTATTTTTATTAATTTTTATTTTTCGTTTTCATATGGTTTACTTTGTTTATTACTTTAGTTCATAGAATTGGCAGATTTCCAGTCCTTGACGTGTGCGGTGCGTGTCTGGTGAGTGGTTACATGAGTGGCCTTTACTATGACTGGCGATACCAAGGTGATTATTCTATATGGACCCCCGTAGCGTGGAGCTAGTTTCGCGGCAAACTCCTGGGTTGCTTTTGAGACTGGGTGTTCCTTGATCCACACCAGTTGGCCTATGTCTGGTCGCCACCATCTTCTTCGCAAATTGTAATACTTTGCTTGAGTTCCGGAGGCTTCTACGATATTTGTCCGGATCGCCGAAAACACCCGTTGTAGTTGTGATTGTTTCTGTTCTTGGTTCTTGGTGACTGCTCCGCACCTTGGTGTATTTTTGTCAAAGGTTGCGTCTGGTAGTCTGGCTTCTCTCCTTTGAACTAAATAAATGGGGCTATAACCCGTAGTTTCAGACACCGCTGAATTGACTGCAAGCTTTACTTCAGGTATGAAGTGGTCCCATGTTCTATGCCGATTATTTGCATATTGAGCAATCATGGTCTTTATTGTCTTGTTTGCTCGCTCCGTGGGATTTTCTTGCGGTAAGTATGGTGCCGTTCTCTGATGTCTGACTCCAATTTCTTGCATGTAGCTTTCGAAGGATTTGTTGCGGAATTGTGGCCCATTATCTGTGATCAACACCTTGGGTACTCCAAAATTTGCGATAATTTTTTCTCGGAACGCGACGATGGTGGCTTCGGTACTGGCTTTTCGCAGTGAAATCAGTTCCACCCATTTGCTGAAGCGGTCAAAAAACACAAGTAATATCGTATTCCCCTTGCTTGATCTTGGTAGTGGACCGACAAAATCTGCACAAACCGTTGCCCAGGGCTCGTCGGGTATTTGGGTGAGCATTTCGCCTCCCGGTTTTAATTGACTGGCTTTGTATTGTGAGCAGATATGGCAGTTCTTTACATATTGCCCAATGTCTCTGAGCATACCAGACCAGTAGTATCTGCTTGTTATACGCTGTATTGTCTTCCGTATACTGAAGTG